TTCAAGCTATAAATTTTCCTCTAAGTACTATGGATGCACTCCACAAAATTTGATTCTCTATTTTCATTTAATTTTTTAATATTTCTCTTGAGATTTATTTTTTAGCGTATGTATTATTTTAAATGTTGTTTATCTTCAAATACTATGAACTCTTCAGCTATCTTTATATAACTGAATTCTAGTTTAATTCCATTTTCATCTGAGACTATTGTATATATCCAATTTGTTTCGGTTACTTTTCTCTCATTGCTGGGGCAAAATACCAACACCCAAAATTAAGGAAAGGTTTATTTAGCTCACAGTTTATGGAGGTTTCAGTCCACACTTGGCTGGCCCCAAGGCAGAGTGACGCATGGCCGAGGGTAGCAGTTCATGGCACAGAAAACAACAAAACAGCAAGAGCAGAAGGAGCCGCAGCTGCTGCCGAGAGCAAGCCTCTCCCTTGCTTACATTGCATTCAGGCTATCCGTGGGTGCAGCACTCACACCCCCGATCCCAGCAGCACTCACACCCCCAATCCCAGCACTGGATCATGAATTAATCACAAACCCTAGAAGCTGCCCCATGATGCATCAGGGTTTTGGGGGATGCCTAGGTACAAATCATAACAGAGTTGTTCTTAGTTTTTTTAAGATGTGTTTTATGTGCCCAAATGTGGCCTATCCTTGTGCGTCTTCCCTGTGAATTCTGCTGCTGTTGGGTGAGATGTTCTGAATGTGGGTTAATCCAATGATGGAAGGCACTGTCACCTGCTCCGTGTCCTTACTGATTTCCTGCCGGGTGGTTCCATCCTGTACTGCAGAGGAATGTTGAAGTCGTCAGCTGCAATCATGGATTCCTCTTTCTTCACATTGTCCTGTCACCTTTTATAAGAATCCATGGCTCTCAGTGTGACCAATTCTACTTGGGGAGAAAGGGCCACAGGAACGAGGACAAGAGAGCCAAGAAGACAGAAGCTGGGTTAGGTGGTGGTGACTCGCCTGCCTGGTTGATGAGAAGACCCTCAGAGCAACAGTATTAATGTTTATTGCCTAGCAACTAATAGCCGACATTAACCAGTCAGGATGCTTATCTCAGGACTGAGGTAGCTTGTTTGTTTTAGGCACTGAGACCTAGTCCTGCCCTCACACTTTGGACCAATCCCGGCCCCTCTTGTATTTGGAGACAAAGCCCGGCTGAGCTGTTCTGGCCAGCTCTAACCTCACGCACTCCTGTCTGCGCCTCCTGAGCAGCAGGTGACTCCTGGGTGCTGACGCTCCGCTCTCACATGAGCAGACACTGAGCAGGCTTCTGCCCCTCAGGCCGCCTTGGAGCCAGCGGAGTGGGCGCGCTTCCTTCTCAGGTGTTCTGGGCTCCATCTCAACAGCTGTGCTCGTGGGAACACGTTTTCTCTCCAGGAAACATGCTCTGCTGTCCTGTGTCCCCAGGAGTGCTTAATGGAGGACTGAGATAACTAGCCTCATGATTCTGGTGAAAGACTCACTTTCTGCGCTGAATTTCTTTGATTTGCTTTGGACTGATTTACGCAGATAGCTGCTTCTACATTTTGGTTGTTCTGTTCTCGTGGAGAGGCAGAGTCCACTCTGCCAGACTTCCCTCTGCCTATTCTTTATCAAATTCCTCTTTCTCAAGGTCAGGAAAACACCACTAATGTTCTTCTTGTATTGCTATTGTCCAGGTGAGGCGTGTTGGCAGTGGAGGCCTCAAAGTGAGGCTTCCAGTGGAAAAGATCTTGTTCCTTCCACACCTGCCACTTGTGTGTGAGTGAACCTCAGTGACGTGACAGGAAACACTTCCTTGTGGCTCTCTAAGCACAGGTCAGCCTCATTAAGGGCCTGCAGCACGTGCTCAGCTCAAAGGCAAGTGGAATCAGAGCTCTCCAGGCCAGGCAGGCACGCACGCAGGGGAAGCTGGTGTGGAAACTGAAGAGACAGGGTGAGGTGGGATGGCGACGGAGCCCCGCCAGGCGAATGCCCCGTGGAGAGCGCAGATACCCTAAGATGCAGGAGAAACCAGGAACCCAGGCTTTACGGGAACTCAACTTTTATGTGTTGGTAGACACTTCAAATTTAAAAATAAAGCACTTTATGGCCCAGGTAAAGCATGGTGATTGGCACTTCTGCTCGTCATGAATAATGGCATTAGCTTAGTGGGAGGAGAAAAGGGGTAAAAGCGAACATCATGTGACTACTGCCCACGCCTGCTGGGCATGTGCAGCATCCCTGTGGCCTCAGCACTGTGGGGAGCCTTCCTTGCTTCTGCTGCCAGGACAAGATGCTTGACACACCTTGCAGGAGAGGACACATTTGGCTGATGGGTGAGAGGATTTGGTCCATGGCGGGGGAAGGGCCCAGTGGGGGAAGGCTGCGCACAGCATGGCAACCAGGAAGCAGAAGAGGAGACAGGAGCCGCACCTGCACAGCCACGGCCCCCACAACCTGCCTGCTCGACCAGGCTGCACCGCCTGCTGGCACGCTCGCTGTGGATCATCAACAGATGCATCAGTAATGGGCGCAGTGCCTGTGTGCTCCAGTGACCTTCCACAAGCCCAGCTCTGACCACCGGAGACTTTGGGGGAACATTCTAGAGCTAACCTGTAGCACACCTTATTAAACACATTATTGGTGATTTTCATTCATCTGTTGGAAAATGAATCTTTTTCCCCTGCACCAAGTTTTAGCAATTAAAAGGGCAACTTATTAATGAAATCATTCTGTCTTCAAAGTATGAAATTAAAAGATGAGTATAACTACAGGCAAGAAAGCATTTGGATTATGAATCATTTAGAATGATAATAAAGATTATCCAGATGGTCTCATGTTGCGGCACCTCCTAGTGCCTTAGCAATCACCTAATTGGGGTGCAATTTTGATTATGTGGCTCATTTTCAATTCTGCTGTGTCCTAGGTCAATCCGTGTCAGAATGATTTACTAGAAGTAGCTGCCATTTTTCTTTGTAAGTGTTTCTAGATGCTTGAGCGGAATTAGAATATTTTAGCATGGTATTTTTGGGGGGGTGGTGTGTCATTTTCTTAAACTTTATCCCTTTTCCTTAAGCATATTGAATTCAATTCTTGTCTGTCTGTCTTGGTGTATAAAACAGCTTCTTATTGTAAGATGCTGTAAAAATTTGTTTTACTATTTTATTTAATGCTTGCTTCCTGTAGGGTTTTATGGCTTTTTCTGTAGGTAGCTACGATTTTAGGTTACGAGTTTCTTACGATCAGTGAGCAGAATACACAAGCAGGTGTTGCCCTCCCAACCTCTTTGCACCCTGCTCCCCCTCAGAGGGAGCAGGGAGGACTTAGCCCCACCACGATGCCTGGAGGCCCAGTGGACTGATGGGGCTTTCAGTGTACTGGGGCATAACCCCACTGTAAGGCAAGAAGCACCTCTAATTCCAGTTTTGTCTGGGAACATCTACTGGACTCTTTCACTCCACATATTGCAACCTAGATCTTCATCTGGTAAGAAGTTAGTAACTCTAGAAGAGTGGTATACGGATGAGGATTGTATTTTTCAAGGACCACTGGTCATTTTAATTTAGCTTGTAGTCAGAAGAACACGATGTTCTCAGCTGCACTTTTCCCTCTGGATGAGCAGGGGCTCTCTCTCACTGCTCGGTGTGCAGCCTGCTAGACTCTGACATATAAAAGCACACACATTGGTGCATGAATGACTGTGGCTGGTGCAGTAGAGGTTATTTCTGCACAGCAGTCAGCATGTGCATACCGCACTGTCCATCCCACGCATGCCTGCATAATGTACCTCTCTGTCTGAAGGAAACTGGCCAAGAAGCGGAAGGAGACGATGAGCAGCACTCGGCAGGAGATGACCGTGATGGTGAACTCCATGGACAAGAGCTATGCTGAGCAGGGCACGAACTGCGATGAGGCTTTCGCGTTCATGGACACACACAACCTGAATGGGCGATGTAAGTGACACACTCCCTGCTTTAGCAAACTCCCCTGCTCGCTGGCGTTCCAGGAAGCACTGGGGAACTAAAACTACGAAATACTACTTTCTCGGCTTATATCATCCTGAATACTCTGGGCCCAGGGTCGCTAAGATGTTGCTCATTGGGCCAGGTCCCCGAGCATGGGGAGCTGCAGCAAAGTTGGTGCAAATTCCTCCAGGCAGTGCACAGGGGCTTCCTGGTCTGGAGGAAGACAGCTGCTTCTCAGCATCCTTCAGGTTGTTCAGATGCCATTTCTAACCACGCCAGGTGCAGACTGACGCAAGGAAAGCCTGTTCTAAAACAGTTCCCCAAATGACGGTAGCAAGTTAATTGTCTGTTTGTTTAGCTGACAGGCTCTGCCTTTATTATAGGGCTCTCTATGGCAATTAATAAATTAAACCGTATTTAGCTTCACACCAGGTGGGTACACCAAGCTCAGGTAGTTCCTTCCCGCACTGCCACCTATGATCCAGGTACCAAGAATTATTTCTGGAAACCAACAATTAGGTTGATTATACGATGTGCAGAAGGAGCAGTGGCTCAGTCCCTGGTGGTTTTCTCCAGGACCAGAGGCAGGCCCCCTGGGAGTACCTGTGTTCAAGGTCAGGGGTTGCTCCAACCCCATGCATGAAGCCAGGGGCTGCAGACTGCCATTCCCCACCCCACAGTCAGGCCTGCCTGAGCATGTGGGCAGAAGCCAGGCCAGGCTGGTGGGCCTCCTGACTACGAGCGGCATGAAGATGAGAGCCGTTGCCCACCTTTTCGTAGAAATTTCCCTTATTTGGGAGCAAATGTTGTTTTCATTTAAAACACTATATATGCAATGCGATCAAACTACATGGTAAATGTTTAAATGCTTTAGACTAGAGTACAAGATACATTGCCCATAATGCCCTCAGAATCCTCCCTCTCCCTTTGTATGTGCTGATCCCGTCACTGTGGCCACTTTCTGAGTTCTGCAGTCCTCTTTCCTACTGTGCTTATGAGGTATGATCAGAAATATGGTGAAGGCCATTGATGAGGGCCCTATAACGGAAAGCAGCCTTGTAAAAACTTGACACCGCGTCCTCGGCCGCTCTGTTCACTGAATCTGGCATCGTGTGATTTTGGCACTTCCCCAAAATCAACATGACCACGAAAGGGAAGCATTCTGAATCAGTTCAGGATATTTAGGCAGCCAAGACAGTGAAACCACAGACAAAGAAGAAGATCTGGAGAACGGCTTCAGAAAGTGTCCAGACAGTGGGCCAAGTGCTTTCAAGGTGAGGGGAAGTACTGTGAGAGGGATGAATGGCAGTGTAGCTCTATCTCTAATAAATTACCTTTAATTTAAACATTCGTCCTGTACTTCAGTCACACCTGTCACACGGATGGTTGGGACTTTTACAGCAGCAGCTCTTTCTTGAGCATCTGTGTGAAAGGGACCAAGGAGCATAGCTCAGCTGCAGAGCGTTTGCCCAGCATGTGCTTGGCCCTGGGTTCCTCCCCAGCGCCTCCAAACGGAGGGACCACCTAGACGCACTGTACATTCTCGCTTCCCAGGATAACCTGTTACGTTTCCAAGCTTTCTAATGCATGGTGCAACGCCTCATGAGCAAGTTCACTGCTGATGACCACCTCAGCAGGACACTCCAGCCGCCGCCAGAGGCATTCAAGTTGGAGCACAGGACTTCTGGCAAGAGGGTGGAGTAGTGAGCAACAGAGAAAGAGCCTCTCCAAGATCTGTGGACAGACGCTGGAACACAGCAATGTGGAGAAGAGAAAGAGGAGGAAAGCATGTGCCCTGGACCCAGGATGGACCTGCAGCGAGGAGTGAAGCCCACACAGAGCAAGGGGAAACGGAACAAAGAAGGAAGTGACAAGTGGCAACTTCTCCCTGAATCTGGACCCACTGGGTGGGACCAGGTGGCCCTGCAGACACAGTGACTATTGCCCCCCAGAGGCCTCCACAGAGAACACGCCGTACGATGGAGCAGTGAATGCAGAGGACTGGTGGCTGGCTGTGTTTGATGCTGTCATTATTGCTGGTTATACCATGTCCGCCAGAGTGACAAAATTGTTCTGAGCGCTTGTTCTTCCTGCTATACCAAGAATGAGATTGCCTAAAGGTCATAAAATACTATAGGCCCGTGCCCTAGAACCAGAGGCCGGGCCAAGTAGGCAGGAACTTCTCATCTTCTACAAACTGATGAGGTAGGATCGTGCAATATTCTCAGAACCCAAAACCCAGTTATGTATTCCTGGGAGATATCTCTGAGAAGTGTCATTTCCTAAGGATTCTGAATACAAGCAATAAAGCTACTCACCCTAGGCAGTGTGCAGGCACTAACCTAGGAATTAAACTAAAAAGAAAATGAGAAGACACATAAACGAGATGTAGCCTCAAATATCCAGCTCACCAAAGGCAAATCCAGGGGGCAATGAAGCAGAACAACACACAAACCACCCACCTGGCCTCTCTCATAATATCAGAATTAATAAGGCAAATAAATCAGGCTCTAGAAAAAGTCAAATCAAAAATAATTCCTCAGGCCAGGGAGAAAGCTCAGGGTTTAATCCCTGATACTGCATCCCATGCTGGCCCTGCGCAGTGCCAGCCACCAAAACTGAGCATAGTGATGCACGCCTGTAATCTCAGTGCTGGGGCAGCTTAGAGAAGAGGATCACTATGAGTTCAAGCTAAATAGTGAGACCCTATACCAAATAAATACATCTTTAAAAATAATAATAATTTCTCAGATAACTAAAGATGGTTACCACTATGAAAGACATGCTTAATGACTCTAGGTCAGATATAGATTTAAAAAAATAGAGCTTAGGAAAATAATGAAAACCATGGATGCCCAACATAAGAAATAAATGGAATCCATAACAGAGATGCAAACAAATATCCAGGAGTCTAAACGTTCCCTTAAAATATCTGTAGCAGGATGAGCCAGTATGAGAACAGAATCTCAGACGTGGAAGGTAGGGTTGAGGTTATCAGTCATGAGAAGAAGGTGTGAGAGGACGCGAAGAGAAATAGCATGAGGCTGATCAGAGTTCATGAAAAAGCGGACAGCACAAATGACATAGAACACCTATTTACAGGTGTTACAGCAGAAAACTCTCCTGGCGGGGAAAAAGAATTTGATACACAGAAGAGTGAAGCCTGTGTAGAATTCCAGCTATCCATGATGAAAAAGTCCACAGGAAGGCACGTAATAGTCAAGATTCCAGAAACTCAACACAAGAACAGAACATTAAAAGCTATCAGAGAAAAGAAACAAATCACCTGTAAGTTCACTGGGGAAGTGCTGAAAGTCCCACAGTGCCAGATTCAGTGAACAGGGTGGCCGAGGGCACCGCACCATGCCATTACGAGGCTGCCTTTCCATCACAAGGCTCTTATGAATGGGATTCTCCATATTTTTGATCATACCTCCTAAGCACACTGGGAAAGAGGACTGCAGAACTGACTCAGAAAGTGGCCGGAATGAACTTACTGGCCACTGACCCAGAACTGACTCAGAAAGTGATCAGAGTCACAGCTGACTTCTCAATCCAAACCTTCAAGTCACAGAGAGTTGAGTGAAGTGTTTGAAGCCCTAAAAGAAAACAGCTCCACCCTAGCTTCTGTACAGGGGCTCACTCCGCAGTGTGGAGGCCGGCCCAGCACCGCGTGCGGTGCCAGGCATCAAACCCAGTCCTTGGGCTTGCCAGGCTGGGACCGAGACTGCTGAGCTGTTTCCACAGCCCTTCAACCTGGATTGATGTACCCAGAAAAACTGTCATTTAAGATTGTTGGAGAAATCAGATACTTCATGACAAAGAACACCTGAGGCTATGCATGACCACTCCACCAGCATTCCAGAATGTTCTAGAGGACATTCTATAAAGTGATAACAAGGACTACAACACCACGAGCCCCAAGAGAATGAATCTACCAGGCACGTCAGGTTGGACCATGGGACATTCTCACCTGGGCAGGAAGATTAATTTGGAAGTTACATTTTTAAAAATCAGTATCTTTGTAAACAGCCTAAATGCTTATATGCAAAGGCCTCCTGTCCAGCTGGCACTGTGGGCCTCCACGGCCACCCTGCTCTCTGGTGTGGTCTAATGATCGGAGCAGCAGAGTTCCCACCTGCCTTCTGCCCTCTCAGCAGCGTGTAGGTCTTGTCCAGTCGACTGAGGGCAAACCTCCCTGGGGCAAAGGCTGTAATACTCTCAGTGTCTTGAAATCAGAGTGCAGCTGCTGGCAGACACCTTCCCCGGGCTGCCAGCCCACCCTGTGCTGTCCATGCCTGGTGTGCAATCTTGTAGGGCTACGAGGAAGCGCTGTAAGCTCCAGGGTGAGTCACTTTGAGAAGTGGAAAAATAAGACTGGAAAATATGCACGCACTCATTTGTGAGAGTGAAAAATAATCTCTCCAACCAAAGTGGGTCGAAGTAGTACCATGTACCGTAAAATGATATGAAAAAGAGAACATAGGTATGGGTAGTTGGCAATGAGCTTAATTTGTATACTAAAAGAAAACCACATTTTAAAATATCTTACTTTGACAAGAAGGTAAAAGTAAATGTAGCTGTTTGATGTTGCTTTGTACATTTTTAACAACCATGTAGAAAAGTCTGCATGTATCAAGGAATGTTACTGGCCCTGACCCCAGCGTGGGTGCTGAGAATGAATGGTTTTCATCAGTTGCTCTTTCCCCAGCAGCTGACCACAAACATGCATTGTAAATGTAACCCTTCTCTATGTTAGAAAATATAAACATGATGAACATCGTGGGATGTGGTCCTTGTTCTGCCATTTATTCATTCTCCCTTGAAAAATATATACAAGGGTAAAAGCGCTGTCCGACAGGACTGCTGCTGAGAGCTAAAGTATATTAGCCTGCCATCAGAATAACAACAACAGTGTCCAAGGGACCTGCCGCAGTTCCCATAAACACAGTGACATCATCGTATATTAGCACCCTGATCAGGGACTCAGTGTCAAATCAATCACGTAAATACCTCAGAGGACAGCAGACACAGTGACTATGCACACCCACCTTGAGTGAATTTACATCCTTCTATTTTAATGAAATTGATTGTTGCTATATCCTAAATCAACTGAGATATTGAAGTATTAACATGCCATCTTAAAAATGGAAAATGCCCATTTTAATGGAATCAAATAAATAGGATGAGATCCACCATCCCTCTTGCAAACAGAGAGGAAGAAAGGGAGTGATGATGGGATGTTTCAGAGAGCACTTCAAAGGCCTTTTTGTAGGCATTTAAAAGACTAAGCGAACAATGTGGACACAGTTTTCACCCTGAATGTAGCACATATCTACATTCCTTTGTTTCCGATAAACCAGCTCACAGACATGTGGAATGTCCTCTGCTGCCCACACGTGGGGAGGGCGTGGCAACCTACAGAGACATTCACGCTGCCCACGTTCTCCAGATCCTTGCCACTTGGAGTCTAAACCTCAGCTCCACGCAAGAGCAGCATCACACAAGCAAAGGCAGGTAGTCAAATAGTCTGGTGGATTTCTCTGTTTAAACTGGTGCCTGCGGGCTGGGGCTACAGCTCAGCAGCACAAGTGTCTGCCTGGCAAGCGCAAGGTTCTGAGTTCAGTTCCCAGATTCCGTTTCAGTGGCTGTGGTTGTGGGTTTTCCCCTTAAGAGGTAAAGGATGCTTGTACCCTAAAAGAACAGTGACTCCCCAGAGACAGCTAGGAAGGATGGCATTTGCCACACGGACATCACTGAATCTCAGAGATGAGTTTGTCGACGGTCTGCAGAGCATGGATTGCTGTGGAGGTAGAATGGGGACAGTCTCAGCTCTAGACGCTCACAGCCGCTTTGCTTTTCTTTACAGCTGTGTCTTCCCCGTCATCCTTCACAATGAAGACAAATACACTAAGCACGTCGGTGCCCAACTCCTACTACCCAGGTAACAGACTTTCCTGCCATCTCCTCGGTGTGTGGCCCTGTGGCAGTCACACTCTGCCAGCCATGCCATGCTGTCCCTGAGAGCTTAGGAGCTCCCTCTGCTTGACGTGCTGCAACCCAAGGCTTTCTGTGGCTTTCTGTGGGGCTGCGGGGACTGTTCATGGTCACTTACTGTTCTTTCTCCTTTTGCCTCTCCGCACTGACCTACTCACGATGTCTGGCAGACCCATTTGTGCCAACCGCAATTTTAGGTGAGAACATTTCCCTTTCCCATAGTTTCTGCAGCAGTGGAGGAGGCAGTCAGTGCTCACTCTGGGGGAGAATGGAGTTTTCCTTCTGCATGGTGCGGGGCTCAGCAGGAAGTTGGGCGTGGAGAGACTTGCCCTTTCCGGTCTCCGGGGTGCGCTTGCATGTCCGTGGGGTGACACCAAAAGATTCGAGCCAAGTCCCAACTCCAGCCTGTCCCTCTGCGCTCAGAATTTAGCATCAGTGTCGACCCGGGGGTGGGGAAGCAGTATGTCCTCACTCAGCCGTGTACGTCCAAGAGCTGACTTCTGTCCAGTGTGATAGTCATCTGAGTGAAAAGGGGTTCTCTTTATTTTCACTTATTGCTAAACACTAAAAATGTCCATTTCAAAAATAGCATTTTTCTAATTCTGTCCAACGCTATGCAGAACAGTGATTGCAAGAGCGTGCGGGCCCTTCCCACCCTCCCGGGCACCCAGCACCCCAAGGGGCTGTCACTCAGTGGGACTGCAAAGGAGCCGCTGTTCTGAGTAGCAGCATGACACGACAGCACTTTGTAACCATGGGGTTTATTCTGTGTCAGCCGTCACTAGGAACGAGCTAAACTTGAGCCCGGCGGGGCAGAATGCATTTCAAGTATGAAATATTCCCAGCAGGGGGTTACAGAAAAAGTCCCGTTTGCGCAGTGTAAGAAGGGTGAGGAGAGCTGGCATACCCTGGCCGTGATAAGCAAGCGAGCATGGGCTGCTGTTGCATTGAGACGCATAAGTAACCCGAGTGTGTCCCGGCTGTGTTCTCTTTCTACTACTAACCTTACCGGAAAGGAGCACAACAAAAGCGACCTCCAGGTATATAACAATTCATCGTAGCCAGCGTTCCATCCTCAGCTGTCCGCTTCCTCTCCCTGATGCTTCTTAAAGGGCGTAGATCTCTGCAACACGACTTTCCCCCTGTGCCTCCCTTTCCTCCAAGTTGCTAAGATTTCCGTGGAGGGTCACTGGGGTTTCCCGTGGTGCTTCCTGGCCTTAGCTTGTGCCAGAGGGAAGGCAGAAGTTTAGGAAGGACCGTAGGGCAGAGCTGTGGGACCACGCATCATTCTGAGGGCTAATTAGGAAGGACCGCTACACACACACACACACACACACACACACACACACAGCCAGGGAGATCTCCATTCTTATTCCTTTTCTGAGTGAAGGGCACAGGCCAAGCTTAGGGGCCCTAGCAGCGTGGTGTGCTTGCAGACGACACGCATGGAATCACCAAACGGCAGAGCTCTGTGGCTTCTTGGTGGGGGCCTTCACTCCGGCTTGCTCTGGTCCATGTTCTGACAGGAGGAGCCGTGAGTGGGGAGGGCAGAGACATGCTTCCTCAGAGGAAGAACGTGTCCAGAGGTCACGGCAGGGTTCAAAGAAGCTCATTAAGCAAAAGCCGTTTTTCTGAAGCTGATGCCGTGCTCCGATGAGCACCAGTGACATCCTTAAGGATGGCTAGGCTTCCCCTCCAAGGGAACTGCTTGGACAGACAATTCAAGTTGCAAAAATGATGCTTGTCATAAAGACATGCGCCAGTGAGATGGATAAGTAGCCATGCCTGGCACAGCAGCTCACCTGGATCCCAGAGCACTACGTGGCAGTACTCAGGCACCACATCCCTCACCCGGGCCGTGGTACAAGTGTGCACTTCTACACTGCTTAGTAGGGATCGGTGGGTGAGGCTCCTGCCTGATGCCCTACAAGAAGACGAGCTCTGTATCTACTCCAGCGCTTCTTGGAGACAGCAGCAGTTAAAATTCCCATCAAGATAAAAAAGAAGGCTTGTGAACCAGAGCTCAGCGCAGTTAAATCTTTTAGTACCTTAACCTGCTTTTAGTACCTTAAGATGCCTACCCCCAACATAGAGTTTAATTACATCTTTACATCATTTGCTTATAAAGACAGACAGACAGACAGACAGACAGACAGACAGACAGAGGAGCCTTTCTAACTCAAGAAGGCAGCATTCATTTCAATTCACTAGTTTTCAAGGGAGTTTTTAAAATTCAAAATAATTTATTAAAGAACATAGGTAGAATTCATTTTCACTTCTAAAAAGCATCGAACTATTATTAATAAGCTTTTTTATTTTATCCTCCTAAGAGAATGTTTTTAATTTAAAAATTTGTTGATTGTTCATCTTTTCAACCAGTGCAACAAGTGGATGGCAAGTGATATAGCTTAGCTAATAGTTATTTTTTGTCTCTTGTTTTCTTTTATTACCTTTTTTTAAACAAACATTTATTTGTTTTTGTAAACAAACACTTGTTTGTTTTTTTAAACATTTATATCAATTACTGTAATTGATATGACATTAGAAGCAGTATGCATTTAGAAGACCAGAATGACAGGCATTCCAAGCATGACCCTAGTATTACACATTGCTATTCAGTGCAGTTGCTTAGTTTACAGGTATCAGCATATATAGTTAGTCAGGGTGAGAATCCTACCAATTAACTGCTCGTTTCAAAAACCTCATGGAGATTCTCAGAACAAATACACACTTCTCAGAGAAAAACATTCTAGAAGCTAATAAATACATGAAAAAATGCTCCACATCACTAGCCATCTGTGAAATGCAAATTCAAACAACACTGAGTACCATCTCACCCCTGAAAGAATGGCTATCGTAAAGAAATCATCATGAACTTATCCAATAATTAGTATTTAACATGTCAGAGGAAACTGTGGAATCACTCATTTCAGTGGCATCCGGGATTCCTGGTGGTAGAGGTGACCCAGTTTCCTCACAGATGTGTCATGGGCCACCTGTCCCCTCTTCCCACACAGCTCTAAGTTGTAGTTCCCTTCTTCAAGGTGGAGCTGATAGTGTTTAAATGGCTTAAATATGTTCCACACTAGAAAACAAGGCCAGGGTGTCACTGTGCAGTGACAATGGCTGTAGCTGCGTGGATTTAAAATTTCAAAAATGCCTGAGCCTGGGATCCAAGTGTCGCTAGGTTACATGTGTATCCACCGAAGACCTTCATCATTTAGGGGAAGTTCAGAAGCTGAGCCCCCAAGGAAGGGTGAATTAATTGTGTTCATCCCATGAGGGGCAAATGGAGAGAATAAGAGAGGCACAGTGGGGAAAAAGAGTGGTGTTCCATTTATTGTAGTCCAAAGAGCAGCGCTTCCTGTGGGAGGCCAGAAGCCGAGTGGACACAGGCCGACCCAGGGCTCCTATGTCCCACTCGTAGTGCTTGGCAGTCGCCAGCAGCAAATTGGGGTGAAAATTTCCAGGTGTATTAATGACTGTTAAGATGGGAACATACACTAAATTTACATACCTGCTAAATTTCAAAGAAAATCCAGATTAAAAAAAAAAAACCCACACAAAATCAACTTCCACCCCTTTTATTTTGTCTTTGTGTCTTTAGCCGCCTTGTAGTGATCCAGGTGTCATTTCAGCAGCAGCAACATAGCTACACACTTGTGTGCCACCTTCATACCATGCATCCCCAGGTGCTTTGCGACGCAGATGGAAGCGAGGGTCGAGGACAGGTCCAGCTCCCCACACCCCAGACCACGTCCCCGGAGCTGAGCCACCCTGCGAAAATGAAACGAGCAGTGGCCGGTGGCTCTAGCTGAATTCCCTGCAGATGACACATCCAAAGTCCTTTGCAAGCATTCAACACGTCCTCTCTTCCGTGTTTGGATTCTTTGCACCTGAAATCAGTGTCGAAGTCAGAGTCCCCTCCTGACTTTTGCGCTATATTTTGAGGAATGCCACCCTCAATCATAAAGCAACTGCAGGGAATCAGCATATTAATGAGCTCACCTATAGAATGTGAAATTCTTAATCACACAGCGCTTTCCTGCCTCAGACAGTTTTTAATAGCTACCGTTTCTGCAGTTCATTAATCTAATTTAGTAGTAGCCACTCATTAAAACAGAGCCTCTTTAGGCTTATTTGACCAAATTTTGGTGTTAATTTTGTAATTCAATTTGCTTGACTTGCTCAAGAAATTCAAAGGAGAGACTACGCTGAGTATCAAAACGCCTTCTTTAGTCATTACTTGGTTCATGGGGGATGAAAAGCAATTATGATACTAATTTTAATCTCCTTACCGTTATTGACCATTTAAATTAAACCTCTCCCTCCTAACTCGGTGGGAGAATTGGGGCTTTGCCCTCTGACCACCTCAGAATAGAAAATTTAACTGGAAAGGTAAAGCACAAAATAAAAACAGCCTGTACTTCCTCGCGTGGTACTACTGCTTACGCCCTGTTTCCTTTTTCTCCTCCTCTTTCCTCCTCATATGTATCTTCTTAAAAGTGCCAATCAATGGTAAGTGCCCGCGCGCCCTGCAGCGGCCGCCCTCGGAGGGCCGGCCTGTGTGTCGCACCCAGACTCCGCCCAGCTGGCTCCGCGCTGGCCGCATGCTTGCGCTTGGAGCGCCCCTGTGTGCTGTGTCCATCCGCGGTGTTTGTCGCGCTTTCTGCTCCCGGAGCATGCCCCGGGACTCTCGCGCACGCTGTCTCCACTCCAGGCTGCCCTCTCCCCGCCCTTCTCTGGCGTGTCTGTTTGGCGCCAGGCCCCGCCCCCGCGAGCCCCGCGAGCCAGGCCATTCTGTGCCCTTGCTATTTTGCTCATGGAACATCTGTACAGTTTATTTCCTTCACCGTACAAAGGAGTGACGCCCGCGTGGGGCACCCCAAGGCTGGCTGTGTCCCAGCTCTTGAGGAAGTTTCAGATGGAAACTTCCACAGACCGCAGATGTTAGTGCGCAAAGGATGAGGCGAGGCTCTTCCCCACGAACCTGGCGGACACAGTGTGCCATTCCGACTGCTTTGTAAAAGCAAAGAACCCCCCCTCATCCCTGCCAGTACTGCCAGCCCCATCTAAATTTTGCACACGTGACGTTTCTCTTCTGGCTGAGCCATCCCGGGGACTGCCGCCGCCCACCATCGGTGTGCGATGTCCGTGCCAGCCTCGTAGTGTCTCGGTGGCCCTGGGCTAGCTACCAGCCCCTGTGCTCACTTTCTCCCCGGCCTTCTTCCCCCAGACGAAACCCACACGATGGCCAGCGACACCAGCAGCCTGGTGCAGTCGCACACGCACAAGAAGCGCGAGGCAGCTGATGTGCCCTACCAGACAGGGCAGCTGCACCCTGCCATCCGGGTGGCCGACCTGCTGCAGCACATCACGCAGATGAAGTGCGCCGAGGGCTACGGCTTCAAGGAGGAGTACGAGGTGAGCTCTCAGAGAGGACCTTCCGCAGCCTGGGCGAGGGTGGGCACCATGACGGCAAATGGGCCTTGCCACTGCCGGTCACCACACTCCGCATCCACTGCAGGAAAATCAGAGGCCTCCCATGGCTGACCTCGACCCCGTGTGGCTTCTCCTGGGAAGTAGGACACCCAGTCCTGCTCCTGTGTACTTCTCTTAGGAAGAAATGGCCCACTTATAGCAATCCTAGGCCAAGCAGAGTTGTCACATAGAGACAAGAAGCAGTGAAGCGGCATGGCAAAGCTGCCACGCATGTGCCACGGAGGCCTGTCTGTGTCATTGAAAGCTCTGAAAAGTTTGGCATTGCTGGGGTGCTGGGCCATTTCTCGGCCGTGACAGCTTACATCTTCCTGCCAGCCCAGTGGGTCTGGGCTCTCCACAGACAGCTGTTGGCAATGCCAGAGGCGGAGGGTCTCCACTAGCTCTGAAGTGCAGGGCGCATCCCTTCCATGGGCTCTGCCACTAGCAAGTGCTGCTGGAAGGCAAGACAGAGGGAGAAGCGAATGCCTGGCAGAAGTCTGAGTCACCGCAGTCCCTGCCACCTGAGCGTGCAGGTGCGAGGTGGCTTCATGTCTGCATGTGCATTTTCTTTCTTTATTTTTGGAGGCAGGGTTTCACTGTGTGGCCCAGGCTGATCTTGAACTTGCAGCAGTCCTCCTGCCTCAGCCTCTCAAGTGCTGAGATTACAGGTGTGTGCCACCATGCCCACCACGTGTCTCTGTGTTATTAAAGGCAGGTGATGGTCACTGAGGACGATAGAGCAGCACGCTCCCTCTGAATCGAGAGAGGGAGAGCCACCTGGCCTTTTCATCTCAGGGGCGTGTCTCCAGGGCGTGTCTCTCTATTCTTCCTAACTCTTGTCATCAGCAAGCATCTTGTGGGGGCTTAAAGTGTTTTTCAAATCAGCTCCTAGGCCCTCTTGTGGCCCAAGAGCCTCCACCTGCCTCTGTGCCCCCGTGAGACTCCCATGCCGCCTTCCATCGTGCCCACTGCCATCTTGCCAAGCTCTCTCTCGCAGCAGGATGAGCAGGGCTGTACCCCATGGCACCAGGGTTGGTGGACACTCAGTGCTTCTTTCAAGAGCCCTCTAGCTGAGGCAGGCGGACCTGAGAGGTGCGCTTTGCTGTAGAGATGTGTGCATCCTGGCATGACAGCGGCCTCAGGTGGGACGTGCCAGGACCCAGCACCCAGCCCAAAGCACGCCCTGACATTTCCTTTTAGTATTTTTGTCTGGAAAATACCCCCAGATGCAGTTCTACATTTTCGAAAACCTGAATTCTGAGATTTACCCTCAGTGGTTGGATGTATAATTCAGTGAAATTGACTGCTTTTGCATACAGCCTTCTGCACTTTTAAAGACTGGCTTAAGAATTAATAGGATTAAGGGTAAAACTTCTAAAAGCATTAATATCTTATGAAAGGCAAAATTAGGTTATTGAGAAAACATAAGCCTAATGAATAGAGATGATGTCTTAGTTCTATCTAATATTCTGAATGCAGATATTGCTGTAATGTTTATTAAAGATGTTAATGTCAGAGAGATTAGAGGCTCAAATAACAATCCATAAAATAGCCTGAGTCTGATTTTTCATGCACAACGTAAAAATACCTACCTTGTGACTTATATAACTATAAACGATGCATATTAGAAAATAGGTCAAAAATTACTTTTCATGCAGAGCTCCTGGGGATATTTGATTTATAGGTGCAAAATGAAGAATCCTATACTCATTTCAATCATATTATTACTAACTTCTAGGAGTCCTTATGCCTGAAATAAAATGACATATTAATCACCTCGAAAACTCTCTTCTACCAACTGAGTGACCAGAGAGGATGGGATAAAAGTAAATGCTTATTTAAGTTCCAAACTTATCCTCAGTTTTAAAAAAGAAAAGAAAAAGGAAGGAACAGAATGGCAGAGGCACATGTTAGAGAAGAAAGTGGGAGCCCATGAGAAGGGGCTGTTCAGAGAACAGGAAAGGAGAATTTGGTTAGGCATAATCCTCGCCCCTCCTGGGGTCACTGGTGAGAGGAGGAGCAGGAGGGGTGGGGCGGGGTGCAGGACAGGTGCGGCAACTGTGGAGGAAGGGCCGCTTCCTCATGGTGTCTCCCAGAAGCCTGGGGTCCCAGCCTCGCCATCGGTCCCGAGTCTGTGCTGCCCATGGTCAGCATCCAGGACTCTGTGATGGCCCGTCACACTCCCAGGGCTGGCAGGGCCACCAGCAGTCCTTTTCTGTCTTCTCCAACCCCAGCGATTCTTCTTCCTGTGTGGATCTGGAAACTCTCTAAAGGTTGTTTTTGAAAGCAGCTGGATTCAGAGCTGTAACAAAGCACACATCTCGCCCGCCACAATGCGCGTGTCTTTCCTGTGAGCATCGTCCAGTGGGTCCTGAGGCCACTCAGCTGGTCGCCTCTCAGATGGGACAGCCAGGCTCAGGCTCACTCCCACACTCCACCCCCTGCCTGTGTGACTGTAGGCGAGTCTGTGGGGCACAGTGATCCCAGCCTTGCCCTCTGGGGCCTTGTGAAGATGGAATGACGTGGTCTACCACTATAACCACGAGAAAGCAGTGCAGAGAGATGGCGAACACATGGTGATCCACGAGCGACACTTACGGCAAGCGTGGGCAGGGGAGCCACAGCACGCAAGGCTCTGCACCACCTTGTCATCAGCCCTCGCATAGAATGTCAGGGAACAGAGCCAGCCACACACATGGTGCAGAGGTGCCCATCCAGTTTGCTGCCTCTGTGGGGCTTATTGATTGCTGAGGTCACCTGTGCTCAAAAGTTCCTAGAAAAATGTTACTGTAAAGACACAGACCTTGGGGCCAGCCAGATAGCTCAGCAGATTAAAGCACCTGCTTAGGCAGACGCAGGAACCAGGGTTCAGTCCCCGTGCTGGCCCCACGCCAGGACACGCTGAGATGGCAACTGAGACTGGGCATGGTGGCACACACCTGTAATCCCAGCGCTTGGGAGGCTGAAAAGAGGAGGCTCACCACAAGTCCAACCTGTGTAGTGAGACCCTGTAGACCCTGTACTAAATACATAAAAAAAAAAAAAAAGAGGAAACAAAAAAGATATAGGCCTCATTCTAGGGAGTAAGAGCTTAAAAACTGAGAAAAGTATTTAAATCTCTGCTTTTGCCTTTCATTGCTTAAATAGTATTCTCATATGAAAAGTCTAGGGAATTGTATAACTATTAATAAACTACAGAGCCTTCTTTAAAAGGGGTGCATTTGTGTCTTTGGCAAAGTAGGATTTGGAAGATAGTTGGAAGTCATGACTGTGCCCTGCTTGCCCGGCCAGAGGTACAGGGGTGACAGTGGCCCCCACAGCCACCATCCTTGCAGGAAGGTCCTGGCACAGGGCCCAGCAGCTGGAGGGGTGCTACAGCAGGGCATCTGGCCCAAAATTATGCCTCACACATGTTCAGGGGTGCTATGCAGGCCAGTGGGGGGCACTCAGCCAGCCAACGCCAAGATGGCTTCTCCAGACAGGAGTCAGGCAGGAACAGGTGAAGGAGGACTGTTCCAGCTAGTGTGGTGCCTGGGCATGGAGGACACGGGGAAGGACACCCACCATTGAATCACAGGATGGGCTGGGAACAGGGCCATTAGAGCGTCCCTCATGGAGGATATCTGGACATCACACGGGAAGAGGAGGAAGACAGGGTGGTGCAAGGCTCCCCCGTGTGTGGATGGAGACCTAGCGAGTAAGAGCTGCTCACCAGGAGTGTCATGTGTCAGAGGCACACAACCTGCTGACAGGCACTGATCCCCAGAAAATGTGAAGGGAGAGGGCGGGCCTCTCGGGAGAGCAGGGTGACAGGAAGCGCAGTCCTTGTCCCTGTGCACAACCGTCCAGCACATGTGGCTTCCAGAGTTCCCAGGCGGTGCATGAGGTCAGTCTAGGGGAGGCAGGGGACAAAAAGGACCTAGAGCTGATGAACTGCTGTGCAACTCATGCCTGTCACCCGCCACGTGGTCTTTCTGGGTTTCTTCTGCCATGTATTTGGGGGAAGCAGCCAGCCAAGTGGTGATTTCTGGAGCAACGGCTTTCTCTCTGCTCACCCTGTTCCATCCTGTTCTGCACTTTTCCAAAGTAGCAGTGTCTGCAAGTTAGGCTAAACCCTGGCAGCTCTGTGCCTGATCTGGAGCCCACAGAAGTATCCAAAGGAGGGGACCCACCTGGGGTGAGAAGGGACTGGGGCGGGGTGGCGCCGGCCTTTGTTTGACTTTGTTCTGACAACATGGTCACGAGGCACACTCACCAGGGAGACACAGATATTTGATTCAAAAGGAACTCAGACATGAATCACAATCAAAAAGTAAACATGCCAGAGTGAACAGAAAATGGCACAGTTGGCAGGAAGGGCCGCAGGGGCCTCGGGGAAGGCCGAGTGCAAAGGGCAGGTTGGTGGTGGTGCTGCAAGTGTGAGCTGTCTGCTGCCCTGACCCCAGGGGACGAGGCTGTGGGCCTTGCAGAAATGGAGAAAGGACACGGCAGCTCTTGGGGGACAGTGCAGGGCTCAGCCACCCTGCCCTGCAGACTCCTTGGCCTATTGTCACCAGGGCTGTAGCTCTTCAGTGCCTCTTGGGCTCCCTCTTGTCCCCGCACAATGCCAACTGCCAGTGGGTCAGTGCTGTGTCCAGCTCAAGGCAGTGGTGACCCTATGTGGGTGAAGAGTGGTTTTTGTGCCTCTCTGTGCTCCCCACAAGATCTCTTTTAGGGCTCACTCTGTCTTCATTTCTTTCTGTACTGGCACGTGCTCGCAGAACCTAATGAGGACAGCTCACTAGGGAGCTGCTGCGTCGCTGTGTTTTATCCCTCACTGCGCCTTCTCTTCTTCCATTTCTTGGCCCTCCACCTTTTTACAAGCATTCTGTCTCCCTGCTTCCTGGTTTCTATCTTCAACTGGATCTTCAATTTACTGCTCAATTTTGAACTGATCTAGAGTC